GACGACGACTACGGACGGACGGACAGAGACTCCCTGCTGCACAGTTCCCTCAACTACCCCCTTTGGGGACTTGGGGAGGAGCCAGGCTACGCCTGACTGGCAGAGGGATCTTCCTTTCCCCTGCCCCCGCCGCAAGCATCTTGAAAGTGGTGGCTGCCACGCCCAGAGCTGGGTGGGGGTGGAGGGAAATGGAGCCCATCTGCCTCATGAGTCTGGCCCAACTCCCCACAAGACCCCAGCAGGGGTAGCTGAGACAGGCCCACAAGGTGGGAGGCTGTGTTTCCCCCGCCCCCGACCCAACTCCGAGTGTAACAGCCACGGTTTCCACTGTCAAGATGCTTTCCTGTGGGTTGGGGGAGGAGGGAGCCCCGCCTACCATGTAGACCTGGCCTGGCTCTCCCAAAGACCCCAGCAGGGGTAGCTGGACTGGGCTGTGAGGTGTGGGGAGCTTCATACCTCTCCCCCACAGCTCCAGTCATGGCCACCACAGCTGTCACTCTCAAGACCCTCATGCTGGGGGTAGGAGGGAGAGGGAGCTAAAAGGGAAGGGCCCTAGAGTGCTCCTTTCTGATACTGCATCAGACGACAGTTAAATTTGGCACAATTGGCCTTCTTAAAAGTGTTCTGCAGCCATGAATGTTTGTTGTGTTATAGCTACAGAATGCTTTCAGGGGCCTCAACCTGGGAAAAATGTAACTTCTGTACACACCCTGTGTATCTGCTTGCATAGTTACATATTCATGAGTTCTGGAGATGTCTGCTGATAATCTTGTGAACTCTGATGGGCTTGGGGGCGAGTTGGAATGTTGTTGGAGTGTTGTTGTAAGGGTGAACAGAGCTAGAAGCTCTTAATGGTGGTTAGGATCTGATCAGGATGTGTGACATCTGTGAGACCTGGGCATAGGTACTTGGGAGGATGGAGACCATGTAATTAGCCCTTAAGGAGATGAGCAGCTTATGAGGAGATATGACTACAGGGAAGTCCTGGGGCAGTCTCCCTTTTCTGAAAGTATCATTTTATCAAGGCATGGCAGGAGAGGACAAGGGAAGATTCCCCAATGACTGTCAGGTTGACTAGGGCTGAGGGGTCTTCAGGGGCATAATGGCCACTCCTAGAACAGGATCCTCTTATAATGATGAGGAATAATGGCAGGTCTGGGCAGAAGAAATTGTTAAAGAATTTGCATGTGTGCACATACACACTAACTGAGTTTTGAATCAACATTTTTTTTCTTTCCTAACAGTGGGAACCCCTACATATGGAAAGTGAAGGTAAGATGGTTAAATACAGATGATGCACTTTATTTTGTATTTGTGTTGCCAAGTTTTGGATCATTGTACTGTTACTTAACTGTTTAAAATGATTTCTAGCATATTATAAAATATTAAAGGACTGTTTTATTCTACGTAGCCAACACAATAACTCCCCATTATGAATATTTCCACTACAGTTAGGTTTGTCTTAACACTGGTATTCCTTAACATGATTATACTACCTCCAATTTGGTTTGGGACCAGATCATGCAAATAACTGCTTCCCAAATCTGCTTGCTGAATCAATGATTTGGAATGAACAAAAAGCAGAAGCATAAAAGAGTCCTGCTTTCTAGACCTCTGAGTGGCCCTGTGGCCTGGGTATAATGATAGGACTTAGCTTAGCTGTTTGTATGGGCAACAGGATTAATACATCTGCTAAACAAGTTTCCTTTGGTCACCCATCTCTGGCATCCCTTTTGGGTTTAATTTTTCTTTGTAGCTTAAATGACTAGTCAGTATCTGGCAACATTCTTTGGACAAAGGCTTCTCGTTTCCTTTTTTGTGAGTCATATGTGATTTCCTGTGGCCTTAAATAGACTTATCTGAATCCTGAATCTGTGTTTTCTTCAGTCTGAAAGCAGCTTGGAGACACTTCAGCTTTCACACTATCATACTGGTTTTATGCTGATGTATCTCTAAGTAAAGTCAGTGACATTCATATTCAGCATGTGAATCAGGCCCCTGTTCATAAAATAATAACCTAGAATTTCATAACTGTCTAAACTAAAATTAAGTGTATTCAAATTAAAACACCAACAAAATTAAATAATGTAAAGGTTGAATAGATTGCTACATACCTTTCTAAGAGTACACAAGATCTCTTTTAGGTAGGATACTTTTAATAATCCAAGTTCCTTTGAATTAAGCAAAAATATGTGTACCATGTGGCCACATTTTTCAAAATCATATGCAACTTAGAAGACTATGTACCTTCACCTTTAGGGAGGGTGTAAACAGGTATGAGAAGAATCAAGACTTGAATTGGAAGAAAGAAAATACAGATAGAGGTTGTAGGTAATACATTTATGGAGACTCAGGCTGCAGCCTCAAACCTGGGGCCTCCACCCAGCTGCTCATCTTGGTCTGCCACCCTATAGCTGATTACTCAGGCTGGACAAGGCTGCCTTGAGGCATCCATCATAGCTTAGCCCTCTACCCTCCAAGTGGCTGGTTGGGGTCACATCCCAAATATAATCAGGAACAGGAAGTGTCTGTGCAGCAGGGCTCAACCTGATCCCAGCCTGCTTTGCTATTTCCTCTGGCTTGTTCTGACTCCTCTCTCTGCTTCATTGCCTGGCTTGCTATCTGACCCCACTCTTTACCTCAGTGGTCTCCAACCTTTCTGGGTAGGAGATCACTTTTTGAATTAAAAAGCAATCCAAGATCTACCCCCTCCCACCCCACTGGTCAGTCTGTGGGGAGGGACGGGCAGGCAGGGGGCAGATCAAGGCAGAGGGAGAAAAAATTATTTGGGGGCACACCCCCCTGGCAGGTAAGTCTGTGAGGGAAGGGGTGGGGGGAGGGAAAATCAAAGCACCAGCGGTGAGGGAGGGAGTGGGGCACAGGCAGGAGCAGGGGCTGGGGGGGAGTAGGCCTGGCTGGGCTGGGTGGTGGGACAAGCGGAGTGGGGGGGGCACGTGCCCCTGCATCTGCATGTGGGGCAGGGTGGGGAAGGGAGGGCTGGGGCCGGGGTGGTGCCAGGCTCTTCCCAGTGCACCTCTCTGGCTGCACAACTCTTGGGCTGGGTGGCAGCAGTGCTGGGAGCAGGGCTATGGGGAGGGGGGCTGCAGGCACCCAAAAATTTGCCCTAGCCCCCCACCCCTACTGTAGTCACTGGAAGCCCATGACTGGGCTGCCTTGGGGTCCTACCGCTGCCCCGTGTGCGTGTGTGTGGGGGGGCTAAGCCCCATTGTCCCCCCCCTTTCCATTATCTATGCCCCCATGTCCCCTGTCACCGGGTGAGTGAGGCCCCGACCGGGCCAGGCTAGGGAAGGGTCAGAGAGTAGGCAGCTCATCCAAGTGCAATGGGGGGCTCCTGCCACTGTACACACCCCAGTGGAGGCCCAGGGGGCATGTGTTCCCCTGATCTGTGCATAGGCATCAGGGCGCAAAGCCCAGCATGCAGTGGCAGCCGCCTCTGCCCCATGCACAGATTGGGGGGGCACATGACCCCCAGCCTCCACTGGGGTGCATGCAGTGTGGGAGGCCCCGCCATACCCCTGGATGAGATGCCTGGGCTCCAACCCTCCCCTGGCCTGGCTGGGGCCCCACTGACCCCTGCCCATGCCTCACTGCCTCACGCACTGCAGGGTGGCAGGGCATGAAGGAGGATCTCCCCACTGACCTGGCCCAACCCTGGTGGCAGGGGGTGCAGCTCAGCCCAGCCACTTGCCTCCTGCTGCTGTCCCGCCACTCCTAGAATGCGTCTTGGCCACTCTGCACATGCATCCTGCCACTCCCAATCATGGAGCCTCTGACAGTCGATCAGTTGCCCCAGACTGAGATGGACTGTCAGAGGCTCCACGATCGACTAGTCAATTGGGATCCACCAGATGGTGACCACTGCTCTACCTAATCTCCTGGCTTCCTGACTTGAGTTGTTCCTAGATCCTGCTCTTGGATTGACCTAGCTTCCTAACTTGGCTTTTCCCTCGATTCTGTTTACTCCTCCTGACTCTGGTTGTTACATTGATGCCCAAGTGGCCCCAGACCTGGCCACCTGTGACCCAGCATTACAGAGTCTGAAGATGAAAAGGAGAGGTTGGATAATGGTATGAGGGATAGAAAAGGTAAATGGTGCACTACTGCAAGTTAGATAAAACTAAAGTGTGTTTGCACTGGTGAGGGGAAGGGGCAAGTTTATCGGACTGAGAGGTTGAAGGGACAAGTGAAAGCAGAAGTGAGAGAGTTTGGAAGACAGAAAAGAATAAGGCAGGGGTGGGCAATTATTTTGGGTGAGTTTTGGCAAGCCGTGGAGCGCCACAAAGGCAGCCCTGCCTCTTGACAGGTGCCCCACCCCCTGGTCACCATCTTCGGACCAGAAGTTCCACCCTCTAACTCCTGACCTTTGCCACCAGAAGTCCATTCCCTTCCCCCTTGCCCTGCAAGTACTCCTTTCAGGAGGTCTTGGAACCAGAAAAATATCAAATTATATTCTAAAAATCAAACATGTACTACAACATTCTTTAATTTGATTTAAAAAAAAAAATTGTCCTGATATACATGCACTTGTGTTGTGTACATAGAAGTGATTGCACAACAGCTTAAGATGAAACCTTACTCTTGTGTATTGTGCGGGGTATGGGGGATGGGTATATGTTTGTGGGGGGCTGTGGGTGTGTGGGAAAGGGTTGGCTGTGTGTGAGGTTTGTGGGGAGGCGGGTGGGTGTGGGGTGAGGGAGGATGTGGGTGTGGTGTGGGTTGTGAATGGGTATGGGGTTTGTGGGGGGTTGTGAGTGTGTGGGGGAGGGTGGTGGTGTGTGTGGAGGAGGAAGGTTTGCCCACAGTCTCCCCATGGTGGGCAGAGCCCCTGCTGGTGCTCCTGCAAGCCCGGGCTCCATGCTCCTGCTGCTCCTGGCCCTGGGACACCTGCACAGGCCCCAAATTCCCGCTCGCAGCCACTTCCTCCTCCATCTGCCACTGCTGTCCATCTGCTGCTTCCCCATCCCTTCCCCTGCTTGCTACTCTGGCACCATGTCCCAGCTGCCTAGCTGAGACCACAGCAGGATCTGGCCCAGCCCAGTGTAGCACTGCAAGGAACTAGCCAGGAATTGCAGGGGACAGGCCAGCTCCTGCTGCATCCTGCAGCTCAGCGCTGCAGCCAGGAACCACATGGTGCTGGAGTGAGCAGCAGAGGGGTGGAGGGGAGTGGTGGCAACAGTGGGCAAATGGCTGTGGCAGGTGGGGGGCGGGGGGGAATGCAGAGTGCAGCAACAGTTGGGCGGGAGCACAGGGCTGTGCCAGTGTCCCAGGGCCAGAGCCAGCAGGGCCCAGAGCAGGGCAGCAGGAGTGTGGGGCTTAGGCCAGCAGGGGTTCTATGGAGCCAGGTCAGGCTGCACCAGCAGGGAGAGGGGGAGCCAGCCTAGCTCCAGAGCCCCTGCCGGCCTGGGCCTCATGCTCCTGCCCCCAGCTCTGGGCCCCCGCTGGCCCTGGCCCTGGCCCTAGCCCTGGTGCACTGGTGTGGGCCCTGCACTCTCACCCAGCTGTCTCTGCACTCCGCATGCCTGCTCACTGCCCACCCCTGCCAGCTGCTCTGGCACTATGTGGTTGCTGGCTGCAGCACCAGGGCCGCAGCAGCTGACTCGGCCCAACCCTAAGGATTGAGGCAATCGCCCTCAGTCCTTCCCTGCTTCCCGCCCCGCCCCCACATCTGAATTTCCCTCCAGTGGAGGGAGGCAGGAACAGCCTTATAGTCCCAGGCCAGAATCCTCTGCCAGGCATGGGCTTCCGACTGGGGCTGGGGCAGGCCTTGCTTCTGCGGCTGCTTGGTCCTGCTGGTAGCTCTTCCTGAGTTCTACTGCCCCTGGCTCCTGTCATCTTTGACAGGCTGCCAGGGACAGATAAACATTAAATTTCTTAAATTTTTTAGGGGCCCTGTGGGCCAGATAGAATGACCTGGCAGGCCTGATCCAGCCAATGGGCCATATTTTGCCCGCCCCGGAAATAGGGTGATTAAGGCAAGAAGAGATATTGGAGGAAAGCAAACAGTGTTGGTAAGAGGATGCCAGAGTGATCAGCTCCTAATAAGTTAGAGAATCAGTCTATAACAGTGGTTCCCAATCTGTGGTACGCATACCGCCAGTGGTACACAGACAACCTGTCAGTGGTACACATTCACAGATTTATTATAATTACTTTATATTTCAATAATTTGCTGGTGGTACTTAAGGTTGAACTGAAAAAATTGCTGGTGGTACTTCATGTTGTATCATTTTCAATTGGTGATATGCAATCTGTCAGAGTTTGGGAACTTCTGGTCTATAGTTGTCACAGCTGAAGATCAGATAAGTGCTTCTTCTAAAAAATCAACCAAAATTGCAAATACCTCTAATGAATTTTAGGATATTACATATATCTGTAGTACACCTGCCATTCATTATTATCTTATTGTTATAAATATTAGACAATATCCCTGTGTTACAAGAAGCATAGGGCTTAGTGCCCAGTCATACAAACATACTTGTAAGTAATTTTACTCATGTGAGGAACACCTAGAAAAAATGTGTGCATTTCTTTTTAAGATTGGGCCCTAAGTGTATTGAGGGATGCTGCTACCAGGGTGGAGATGGTATAGGCCTCTGACCGGTGTTGTATTTGAAGTACATGGTAATGTTTGAAAAGCTGCTGGTGGGGACAAGATGTGGAGAGAGGAAAGTCAGGTACACAAAAGCACTACAGAAGGTGTGCCAGAAGAGTTTGATCCCCAGCACTCCTGTCTCTCCTTCCTCCCCCCACCCATTTCACTGGGGTCTCCCTTGCTGTGTGCAAGGGTCAGAATTCACTTCTCATTAGCAGCACAGCTGAAGACTTGACAGGGGCTGCCAGCCCTTTTTGCCAGCTCTCTAGTTCCCCTTGCTGGTAAGTGCTGGTAGAGCACGTTTTCTATGGCACTTTTTCCCCCTCTAGATAGCTTGCCCAACATTACTGGTTGCTTGATGGAAATAACATCTTGCAGGTGCCATAGTAAAAGAAAATTGAGGACAAATGTTCAGTGATTGATGCGTTACAAGGTTGTTACATGCACCTTGAAGACTGTCAAGATTTTTTTGTTTGAAGTCACCCATTATTCTTCCTCTGTACTTTCCTTCTGAAATCCAAATGTGTAGGCATATATGCACATGCGTACATCTACACATAAAGCTATTGCAATGTGATGGTTTTGAAGGCCTCTTGACATTCATTTTGCATTGTGACCAGAAAGAGCATTTGTAAGCATATTAAATATTTTTACAAAACCCTTCTGTTTCATTCAGTAAAAAGTAATAAATTTTCCCTTGTTATGGTTATGAGTCTGAATCCCATCCATTAATAAATCTCTTGAAAGAAATCAGAGACCCTGTTCCTGATTAGAATGTGTTTTTTTTCCCTGTCCCCTCCAGCTTCTGTATCCAGTAAACCACAGGAGGATTCAGAGGAAAAACATGGAGAAGATTTCAAAAGAGAGAGTGATAAAGGCAAAAGAAAATATATTTAGTAAACTTTCTGAGCTATTCTTTTTTCTTGCTCCCTATAATTTATTTTTATTAAGATGTTTGAATAAATGTAATTGTCCACAATAATGAGCCAGGTATTGTGCAAACAGATGATATTCAAGTTTCCAACATGCTACCAAAGGTACATATCTCAGTTTTAATCTGAACCTTCCAAGCTATTTCCATCTCTGTTCTCCTCTTTCATTGCAGTAATGGTAAGGAAGTTGTTGTTATGAAAATATTTATTATTTTAGAACACCACTATATTGCCAGTGGTACTGTAGGCATGCAAGGACACAAGACCTACTCCTCCCCACCATAGTAATATGTAACATACAGAAAATGACAAGGAATTATTGGGTGTACAGATAATGAGAAGCAAGATTTGTTTGGTAATATCTCAACTGTGCAGTTGGGAGAGATGTTATAGTTAGTCCAATTAAAGGTATTTCCAAACAAACCTTGCTTCTGACATATTACCTGGACCATCATGACGACAGCAAAACTTTGACCTTCCTATAACAAAATAAAGATGACAGCACCAATCAGTGGGAGAAGAATACAGCTTTGGGGGAAGCATTGTTTTAAACTAAAGCTGATTGTATCAGCTATTTTGTTGTAAGTGATTTACCATATTTACTTGATTCCAAGACAAGGTTTCCCCCACATTTAACATGGGTGGGAGCCCCTTGTCTTAGAATCAAGTATGAGGGCAATGGGGCGGGGGGCAGAGAGGGTGGGGACAGGTGGCTGCTGTGGCTTAGGATCTAACCCCTACCTAGGTTCAGGGCTATAACCACAGATGCTGTCTGCCCCCCAACTCCTCTCACCCCCTTCTCAACCCCACCATCTCACCCCTGCAGCCTCTTCTCCTTATCTTCCCTCTACCCACCATGCAACCCCTCTTCCCACACCTGCTCCTCTTCCTCCCCATCCCTACCTTTGCTCTGTGCTGGCAGGCTTCATACATGCTTCAGTCTAGGGCACTCACCATGCTTCCACCCTGGCCTTGTAGCAGCAGCGCAGCCCCGAATGGCTGTTCCAGTGGCTGGTCTGGAGCTGTGCTCAGTACCTCAGGCTTGAACAGGGATAGACCCTGTCAGCATGGAGCAAGGGTAAGATGGGAAGGGTGAAGCAGAGGCTTGGGGGGAAAGGGGAGCAGAGGCTGGGGTGGAAGGACAGTAAGAGGAGCAGAGATAGAGAGGAGAGGGGAGAGCTGTGGTGGGAGGGTAGAGGTGGTAGGGGGCAGGCACAAGCAGGGGGCAAGCTGCTTGACCTCTGTACATCACCTGTCCCCCTCCCCCACTGCCCTCCCTCCTACAGCAGTGGGGAGATTGAATTAAAGATGATCTTCCAATACTTTGATTCCATATGTGGAAAATTCTAACAAATTTATAAATTAGCCATGTATAAAATCTAATTATGGGGTGGTCATCTTAAGTTCAGGGTCATCTTAGATTTGAGTAAGCATGATATATAAATTATGAGTTTAGTTAAATAATGTTTATATAACAGAAAAGGAAGTTTAACATCCAAGTGAGGAAATGTGGCCGGATGCATTAAGTTAATTAATTTTGAAGAGGAATATGAAGGAGAACAGTGAGGTTGCTTGCTGCATAGGAAACAGATTGTTGCATTTTGTCACACACATTATCCAGAGTATAAGATATTTGCTTAAGGCCTGATCTGAAGACTACTTAAGTCAGTGGAAGCCAGCCAAAGGTAGAGGGGCTGTAATAGCCACTTTTACTACCTTCAGCTGGCACAGGGAGAGTAACCAGGGAAGGAGACAAAGCAAGAATACCACTGCTCAAAGGCAACCCTTGGCTGTTGGACCATCCAGCATTCTTTGCAGCAAAACACTGAACAGGTTCAGCATGGTCTCAGGAAAGTACAAAGATGGAGATCATTTCAAATGATCTGGTCCACCAACTATTCATTGGTTTGGGATGTGTTGCTTTGTTTTAATGAACATTGAAATTATATCTGCAGCAGTAGTACTTTAATGAGGGACCAGACAGGTTGGCAATTATCATTGTAACAAATTCCTACAGACTGTTTTTTGTTTGGGTAAAACTATTTGGGTAAAACTATTTGATCTATATTTGTGTTGCTGAACTGCTTTCTAATTCCATGTTTTTTCTTTAGGTCCTCCTGATCGTCTGCAGGAAAAAGAAGATTTGTGCATCTTCTTAGCACTTCATATGGAAAATTCACCAAATTGTAAAATTCTGGGAGGGAATGATGGGGATAGTCAACCAAACACAGGAGGGAATGATGGGGATAATCAACCAAACACAGGAGGGAATGATGGGGATAATCAACCAAACACAGCAATTGTAAGTTGAATGAATTCAAGTTTTTGTTGTGATTATGTGGGATTAGAGACATTGTTGTTAATTAAGATGTTTGACCAGTTCAGATTTTAATTTATTGTAACTGTAATTTATTGTGTATATTATCAATTCGTTTTGATAAAACAGATATTGTTTAGTTGTAATTGGAGCAATGCATGGTCCCTATTCCATCCAACAGTGGTGGAGTAATCTTTAAAAGCATCAAAATTCTCCTTTGTGAAGGTTTTGTACGACTGATATGGTTTCCAGTGCAATGCTAGAAGTAGTAAGCAGAATAATAAGGTTGTGTTACCACTTAATTATTGCATCTATATCCATCTATTCTAATTAATATTGATGAATATCTATAATTGAGTTCTTTAGCTCAATTAAGAACTTAAGAAGTTATTGGATGAAATTTAGAACGTTCCCTCCAATTACATACCTTAGGAAGTGCATCATGGAAGCCTCTTTGTTCAATAAATATTCATTTTGGATGGTTAAATAATATTAATATTTATACTCTCCTTCAGACAAATGGCTTGGTAAATGTTGTGACTGTCACTTACTGGCATTTTATCCTTGATTTTGTTCAAGAGATGGGAATCGTGCACTTGATCATTATGACATAGCTGTTTCATTTGGTTTCCCATAGTGCCTTTTACCTTCAGAATCTCAATCAGTTTCCCTCTTTGTCAGAATAAAATCTAAATAGCTGTCCATTTAGTCCCTGCCTCCACCTTCTGAAATAAACGGTTGTCTACGACCCGTTCCAAGAATGTCACACAATCTAAATGAGCATGACAATCCTCTGCTTTAAGAGACTGATCTTAAGAAATTATAAAGGATGTTGGTATTTCTTTTCCTTTTCCTTTCCTTTCTGTAGTTTTGCAAAACTGGGATTGTCATCTGTGAAGCAGAAAAACCAAAAAGGATTATCACAATGGACTGCTCCACCACGGAGTTGCATGCTGTACCAAAAGCATTGTTAAGACTTCCAAATGCAGTGAGAGGCTGTGAAGTTTATCTCTCTCGAATGCCTTGCCTCAGTTGTGCAAAATTTTTGGTTCAAGGTCTGTATCAGGTGTAAATAGCTATAAAGTAACTGGCTTCATACTTGTGGGAAACAGCCTGATAAAACAGTGATGTCCATGTTTAGTCCTTTTAATGCTTTCCTCTTCTCCCCTCTCTCATCCCTTCCTACTCTCAGTCTTTTTCTTTTCATAATTTTATGGCTGCAGGCAGGTGTTAATTTTGCTGCTCAGTTGGGATCTGGTGAATTTTACCTGAGATCCCCAAAATCATATGGATACTATGCCAGATGTACATGGCAGGTCACAATTTTGAGGAACTGGGATAAAGCTCCTCAAATCCTACCACATGCCAGGACCCTTAAAGCTGCATCCTGAAGCCTGGCATTGGGAGTGGGGGCGGCAATGATGTAGAGTGTACTGAAGGCCATTTCAAGGTGCCAGACCAAGGGGAGCACCTTGCTGTGAAGCCCCTAAGTGCTAAAGCTGAGCATTAGGACTCAGTTATGCTAGGTACTGTGACAACTATAGTTGCTTTACATTATAAAGCCTTTGTTATTACTGTATTTACTCTAACTGAAGATAAAGATTCCCCTGCCCCAAACAGTGTAGGGGGAGGAGAGACCGCATCTCAGATTTAAGCACTAGCCTAGGGCAGGCAGCAGCTCAGCTGTGGCTTCAGCCCCAAATTTGGAGCCAAAGCCAAAGATGAACTGCTGTCTGTCCTGAGTCAGGGTGGCTCATGAGGTGGGGGAGGGGGACCATGGCAGGGAAGTGGGGGGAGATATCATGGTGAGGAGGGAGAAGGAGAGTGAGGGAGACTACACAACCTGCTTCCCAGCCAATGCCTGCCTGCTCCTTCCAGCCTGCCCTCCCCCCACCTTATCTTCTACTCCAGCTCTGTCCCCAACCCAGCCTGGCCCAACCCAGAGCTGCCACTGCTCCTTCTGCCTGGCTGGGCAGTGCTGGGGCTGGGCCAGGGCTGCTGCCACTGTCTGTCCCAGGGTGATGTTAAATGGTGGTGGGGGAGAGGTTTCTGGGAGCAAGGGGACAGGCATGGGGGCAGGTGGCAGGGGAGAGCAGGGAGTAAGGGGGCAGGGAGTGGAGGGCAAGCACAGGGGTTAAGGGGTGAGGGGGTAGGTAGCACAGACATGGGGGAGGCACAGGGAGGGCAGCAGTGTGACAATGTGGTCAAGCGTTGCGGGGACAGGCACGGGTGGTAGAGGCAAACAAGGATGGCAAAGGTTGGGGGGCAAGGAGTTGGGTTATGGCCCCTCTTCCCCTGTTGCTTCCTTCCTTGCCACAGCTTTAGTGGGGATGAATTTAAGATGACCTTCCACTAATTAGATTCTATACATGGGAGGGTTGTCTTAAATTATTGAGAGTATTGTCTTAAATTTGAAGTTGTCTTGGACTGGGGTAAATACAGTAATAACAAACAATGTTCCATCAAACAAGGTGTAATTAGTTTAAATATTAGTGTTTTAGTTTAGATTTCATGGTAAAGAAGATAAAATAATTTTTGTACTTTTATTTTAATAATATCTTACCTAAGTTTTTCTTCATGCAGCACAAGTCTCCAAAGTGTCCTACTGGCCTAATCTTGAAATGCAAATCACAGAAACAAGTATGAATCAACTTGAAGTGGAAACAAAACAGGTTGATGGCATCTTTAGAGAAAGCTATATCACTGCAGAAATCTACATACCAATTCTAGATTATAAAACAGTGGATAAGAAGATTTTTCCAAAGACTGGATCACCTGACTATCATATGACACTTGCTCCAATTAATTCCATATTTGACCAGAAAGCATCACGTAAACTTCTGGAAATACTTAACCTGCAGCATGTTAAAAAAGAGAATCAATTCACAAAATCATATAAAGAACAGATTAAAAATGCACAGAAATGCTTTCAGAAATTGGCAAGTGGTATTGATAATCAGATAACTGAAAAAAATGTTGAAAAATCAGTACATATCATTACACACAAAAATTCTGAATATATTCATCCATTACAGCTCTGTTACTTACTAGCAGCAAGAAATGGTAAGTAAAGTTTAGTATTAAAGTCAGAAAGTAATCTAGTGCAGAAAAGATACGAGTCCCGCAGAGCTGAGGCTAATATGTAATACAGATGTGATATATTTAAAAAAAACTGTGAAGCGGTATGTGTTTAGTCAAACTGATGTAGTATCACAAGATTTAGACAGTTTACATGGGCATAGAGACTATAATTTAATTGAATTTACTTGAATATTACAAAACAAATACAAATCACCTAAAAAAAATTATTTCAAGGCTGTTACTACAGTTTTACAAAAAAAATCCATAATCAATGACAAATCTGTTCTGCTAACACTGGTCTGAATTCAGTTTTGTGGAGACCCATGCTGTCTTAACAATAATTCTATGAAGGATTATGCCCTAAAGAAGTGCAGTGCTTCCTGGGCAGTACATGGTGATAAAAGGAAGGCTACCCACTGTATTCATTTAATGGAGGGTAGACCATATGTTTTATAGCTAACCAACATGAAAGAAAAACAGGCTTATGTATCTTCCACCATAAGGAAGTGCTACTGCTAGGGCGTGCTATTAGAGAGCTGAATTCAGAGACAGCAGTTGTGGTCTATCTTGTTTCCACTCTTGTGCATCTTTGTAAAATGTTGAATAATATGGTCTCAAATGTGTTTTAATCAAGATCCACTATTTCTGAGTTTCTTAAACATTTTCTTAGTTTAAAATGATAATGTTTTAAAAACATATTTGTGATAGTATTTCATACTACTTTTTTGTATTTCACTCTAAGTTTTTAACAAAGGGAATGATTTCCAGGTTGTAGCTGTATTGGTCTTGAGGCAAAAGGAATCAAAACTTGTGGTAGAGGTGATATCTTTTATTAGACCAACTAGATTTTTGCAAAAAAAATTATTTAATTGCAAGCTTAAACACCTGAAAGCTTGCAATTAAAGATTTTTTTTGTTGCAAAATCTAGTTGGTCTAATAAAAGATATTACCTCTACCATGAAGTACTGTACTGTACTGGCAATCGTAGGAAACCCTATTGTGCCATGTGTAAACATATAGGCATTACACATGGTGATAGAAAACTCTACTCTTACTGCTTCCCTGCCCCCCACCCCCCGCCCTCCCACCAGAAATAGCTTGAACATCTGTACTCTTACTTATTTTGTTGAGGAAAAAAAAGTGTATATCCTGGCACAAATGTAACATCTGTCCACGGCTGAAGTCTGTACCTTGTGGTCAGAAGGGTTACTAGGGTTATGACTCCTCTCTTAATAGGAGATAGCTCAGCAGCAGTAGCACAGAATTACTAGTATAAATAAAAGAAAAAGTCAAAAATCCCTATTAGTATCAGTACAAGGGAATGGTGTAGGAAGGCAAAACATTGTTGGTACTTCCCATCAAGATGACTTCACCAGTGTGAAGTTTGGGGATGGGTTGTAGAGAAAGAGCTGTGGGGGCAGCTCAGGGGCAGGTCCTGGGGGTGTGGTATTCTGGACTGCTCCCCCTGCTACTGCTGGTTCCAGTTGATCTGGGCTCGGGGGCAGGTCTGCAAAGCCAGTCATGGGATGAGGCTGTGTGGGGTGCTAGGCTGATGAGGGGACAGCGACAGCAGTGCTCATTTTCCTCCTTCCAGTGTCTGCTCCATGTAGGTGCCCCTGCTGGCCAGGAGCAGGCACTGGAAGGTGCCCTGGCACACCACACTACTGCCTCTTGCTGACACAAGCATGGGGGAAGCCCCGGAACTGCTTCAGCCCCGCACATCAGGAAGTGGCCATGTGGCGAGCCTGGCTCGGCTGGAGACAGCAGCTGGGGCACTCAGGTTCTTTCTTCCAGTGCCTATTCCTGGCCAGCAAAAGACACCTTTGGAGGCGGCAGGATAGTCAGGAAGCAGGTGCTGGAAGGAAGAAACTGCATACTGCCACTGCTGTCCCCAGCCAAGCTCAGCACCCAGTACAGCTGGTTCCCATAGCTTCTGCCTAGAGTGGGACAGACACAGCTGCCACCCCCACTCCACCACCACCATGTCAGCCATAAACAGCAGCAGCAATGTTGGGGTCAGGGGTAGGTGCCCCCCAGCCTTCATGTGCCTTCTCTATGTCTAGCTCCCTGGTGTCCCCTGCTGACTTGGAGGCTTGTCATACCTCATCCCTGAGCCCCTCATTGTCTGAGGGGCATTGTGCTGCACCCCCTTTAGTATATCCTGGATCTTCCCATATGTGGGCTGAAGTATCTTCCATTCTGACTATTTATGGAATGTGCTGGTACAGCACAGAACTGTCACTGTTGGACGTTATAGAGCTCCCACAGCAATTTATTGCTTCCTTTCCTTGGTGGAATACTTTGTGGTGGGCAGCAGTGGTAACATGAACCTCTTTGTGCTTTGGTATGTATCCTTTGTATTTCTTTGCACCAGTTGGGTTGATTCAAGACCTAAGACTTAGTTGATAGATTGAAGCATCTGTATGTTACCTGTATTTTTAACCCTCTGTATCTGAATGTTTCCTTCAGATAGTTATAATACTGGAGTGGGAACACTGATATACCATAAAGACATCATTGTAAGTACAGTATACGAGTCCATAAACAATAAGCAATTTCCAAGTGATAAGGAAACCACTCAGAATCTTCCAACATGTGTTCAAGGGCCCAGTTCTGCTATAGAAGATGCACAATGTCTTTGTAGGCTTTGTGTTTATTGTTTATATAAGTGAGCAAGTTAATTCATCTCATATGAATAATGATTCATAACAATTCTCAAATCATGAAGCCAGAATCAATGTAATCAAGCTAAAGTGATACTTTTACAAAGAAAGGGTTTTCAGACAACACCATTTGGCCAAGAAACAAATTATATATTCCATATGACTATATTATAACAATATAAAAATATCATTTTTTCACGTAGAATATAAGTGAAGCAAGTAAATGAGTAGCTGCAATATTCTATGAGTATCAGACCATACTGTTATGGTACGACTATAGTCATTCTAATATTTTTGTCTGATGTTTAATATTTATATCATAGTTTAAGAGTGATATTACCATGATAGTTCAGAAATTATACGAGAGGTAAGGATTTCTTGGAGTGATATCTTTTATTGGACCAGGTATGTATCTGGGATAACGTTAGACAAACTTTCCAATGCAAGACTTTCTTCCTCAGGTAGAATTCTTCCTACCTGAGGAAGAATGCCTTGCATAGGAAAGCTTGTCTAACTTTGTCCCAGCTACATAGTTGGTCCAATCAAAGTTATCACCTTAAGAAAGCCTTGCCTCTCGCAAAATATTTACTTGTCAGTTATCATTGAACTTCTGATTTGCTCTGTTTTTTACAATGACACAAACTCCAACTGTAGACAACAAAAAATCTTTGGGAGTTAGGTTGAGCCCTAAACCATTGAATCATAGGACCTTATGAGATCATCCAGTCCAGCCCCCTGCTCAAAGAAGAATCATTCCTGACTAAACCATCTCAGTCAAGAATCTGTCTAACCTGCTCTTGAAAATGTCCAGGAATGGAGACACCACAGCCTCTTTAGGTAGGCTTCTAGTAAATTGTTTTTGTTTATTTTGTATGCTGTCAGGTTGCTGTTGGCTACAATGGATATCCAAAAGGGACAGTGAATAGTCTGTTTGCAAAGAAGGATGATGGCAGTTTTGATGAGCGGGGAGTCATATGTGCAGAAGCTAATGCAATCATTTTGAGGTAGGAAGTCATTAAGTATATAAAAGAGTAAGATAAAGACCCAATCTGTTTATTCTTTTATTAAAACATAAATTATTTTCAAAATAATATCCCATCACCTGTAGGGAATTTCATTCAGTGGGTGAAAGGGAAAAATGGCATAAGATAATATTGCAATGTGCTATGAACCTGTGAGGCACTAAGCACGCTCACTTCAGACTAAATTTTTGGTCAGCATTATCTTATACTGTTGTATTCCCTATGGCTAAGGACAGAAATTACACATAAACCAGTGTAAGTGATCGGAAACCAGTTCAAATCTGTAACACAACAGAAGTTCAGTGCACATATACTGCTTTCAAAATGGCTGAAACTGCTTTAAGATTAACCTGGATGGATGTAGTATCAGACTTAAATGATTTAGGTTAAATTGGTTTATTGAACTTCTGTCTCAGATCCCCTCCAGATTCAAATGAACTTACAGTCCCCCAGCATCTCAGGAGGTTTTGCACCTCCCCACCCCCACTTGCAATGAGGGTGGACTAGTCCTGACCCAAGTTATCTGCCCCAGCTGAGCAGGGAGGTATTCTCTAGCACCCCCTGGCTTCTGGCCTAGGCCACTACAGGCATGTGGCTACATTTCTGAACTGAAAAGTGAATATCTGTTAATTTCCTTATTGGTTCAATCTATGCAGTTTAGACTAACCTGCAAGGATTGAATCAATTTAGCCTTTAGCTTACAGGACTAGATGATAGTGCCATCTCCTTGTCCAATCACTCCCCCCTCAGAACTCTAAGCACGATGTACTTATGCGTTTTCTGGAGCACTGCATTGCTAATTTAACAAGTAGATAGCAGAGGGTGGCATCACTCTCAGACCCCACTACTCTCAATCAGTCCTTCCCCTTAGGTAGACCCTTTTGATCTGCACATGCCTCCAAGGGCACCCACTGGGGCTAATCACAGCTTTCAATCTCTGTAGCCATGCCCATGCCTTACAGGTGTAACAGTCAAACAGTTCAGTGGGTCCTAGTCTCTCACATGGACTTCTACAACTCTTCAGTCCTTTGTCAATCTCTGCTGTTCTTGGTGCTGGGCTTTCTCTGCATCTCCCCCTCTTCCCCACCCCCTCTGCAGGCTCAAGCCTCAGGTGCCTTCCCAGACCTACTGAGACATCCTGACTTCTCCTACAGTCTGAAACCTGGTGCACTGTTTAAACATGAACAAACCAAAACACTGGCTATAACTTAATTCTCTAAGCACACTGACTTTTTTCTGAAATCCCCATCCACACTAAGTCTAATCCTCTGCCAGCCCTTAGCTCCTTACTGACATTTGTGTGGGATAGCAGGATGTCTATCCAGCTCTCATGAATTGGCAGTTTACTGCAGAGCTCCTTCCCTTTCAGTCTCCAGGGCCAGACTGACCACTCAGAATCTAGCCTTGGCTCATATGCCACCAGAACCCTGCCCCTTTCTGATCAGGTGACTCCCTGGGCTCTCTGCAGGTGTTCTCTAATGAGCTTTGCTGCTTGTCTTCAGGTCAGCCTATAGCAGCAAACCTAGCAGTTGTAGTCTTGCCTTGACTCCCACGCAAGACTTTATCTTGTACTATTTCCAGGAATTCATTAGCATTGCAGTAGGCTTCTTGCTGCTCACACAGGTACTCTACTATTGCACTATTGCTGTGCAACTAACACAGCAATAGTTACGTCCCATTTATGGGCTCTGGCTGCTTATTCCTTTACAGGTAGCCCCCTTCTTGTCTGCCTGAGTACTATTTGCCCCTAGTTTTCCTCTATAAGTAACAGAAGCCATAGGCTACCTGTTACAGTTCTCAATAATGTAAGAACAGGAGAAGAGGAAGCAGATATTGAAGGCTTGACTTGGCCTTGGACGAGGGGGAAAAATACTCTTCTAAGATAGGGTAGATTTTACAGGATAGGGTACTAGAAGGGATCCAGTACTGAATGTGGGGCATTGGAACAGGAAATTTTCCCTCATGTTTGCAGGAGGCAGTTAGAGCCTGTTGTCTCACCCTGCTAAAGAGGTGCTATCTAGGCTGCAGTAATGGTTAAATCTTGGATGTGGGCTGGGCCACAAGTGTTATTTCTACAGTCTTGAGAAAGCACAGCTGAGTGGGGGATAACGGACTTACCTTAGATGGAGTTTGTTGCCTCAGTCATCACTTCCCAGAGCCCTGAACTTGTGATGTATGTCCTGAGTGTTAGTTATAGGCCTGAAGTGCCTTAATAATCTAGGTTGGTCACTGGCAGAGGGAGAAAAAGAGAAACGAACTAAAAAGAACTAATTCATAAAAACTGACAGAGTTTGGTCTTTCACAGAACTGAGGAAGATTTGAATGGCGCTGTATTAATCACCACAGTGGAGCCCTGCAGTGACTGCATGAAACTGATTGAACAAATGAAGATACAGAAAGTCATTTGGCCTGATCGAGTGAGAAATGTGAGTCATAGTAAAAATACAATATAAAGCTGTGCATCACAGTTCCAAGCCTAACTGCATTGCTGTCCCCTCTTTGTTTGGACCCCCTCATGTCTTATGGTGTTTTACCTTTCTTGAGGTGGAATCATGGGATTCTTCCACTCGCAAACTGGGCCATGGTATGCAGTACCTCATGTGTCAATTGTTCTTCCTTTGCAGATCTGACTGGGTTTAGCCATTACACTTGTTCCCCTCCAGGAACTACCGATCAGCATTACCTTCGCAAAGCATGAATCTTCATTGGCAATCCCTCACAGTTGAGGATGATTGTCTTCCATGATTGTCTTATCTGTGGGTCTGAAGGTGGCTGATAAGGCCTATCCAGGATTGAGAGACTCTGTTCCAGACTCTGTTTCCATGCGGGGTGGGTGGCTCTGGGTTCTTGGTTTGGTCCAATGTTAGAGTCCACTGTTTCTGCCACTTCTGCTTTTCCATCTCCTTTTGTCATTGTAAGGTTTCAAAGTACCAAGGTCCTTCCAGCAGACTCTTCCTCCATTTGGGGCAGCCCTGGGTGATAGTCTCCCATGAGTTTCATAGTTTCATAGTTGGTAGGGTTGGAAGGGACCTGAGCAGATCATCAGGTCTGACCCCCTGCCACGGCAGGAAAAAGTACTGGGGTCAGATGACCCCAGCAAGGTGTTCGTCTAACCTCCTCTTAAAGACCCCCAGGGTAGAAGCCAGCACCACTTCTCTTGGAAGTTGTTTCCAGATCCTAGCCGCCCTGACAGTGAAGTAGCGCCTCCTGATGTCTAGTCTGAATCTACCCTCTGCCAACTTGTGACCATTATTTCTAGTCACTCCCGGTAGTGCTCAGGGAAACAGGGACTCCCCCAATGTCTGCTGGTCCTCTCTGACTAGTTTGTAACAGGCCACTAGATGCCCCCTCAGCCTTCTCTTGTGGAGGCTGAACAGGTTCAGGTCCCTTAGCCTCTCCTTGTAGGGCCTACCCTGCTGCCCCAATCATGTGAGTGGCCCTCATCTGAACCCTCTCAATGGTGTCCACATCCCTCCTGAAGTGCGGTGCCCAGAACTGGATGCAGTACTCTAACTGCGGCCTGACCAGTGTTGCATAGAAGAGGAGGATCACCTCCTTGGACCTGCTCGAGATGTATCTGTGGATGTATGACAAGGTATCGTTGGCCTTCCTGACCGTGTCCCCACACTGCCGGCCCATGTTCATTTTGGCATCAATAATGATTTCAAGATCCTTTTCTGCCTCTGCACTGACGAGAAGGGAGTTCCCCAGACTGTAGGTATGCTGCTGGTTCTTCCTCCCCAGGTGCAGTACCCTGCATTTGTCAGTGCTGAAACCCATCCTGTTCTCATCTGCCCACCCCTGTAATCTGTCTAGGTCTGATTGAAGCCTATTCCTCCCTTCTAGCGTGCCCACATCCCCCCACATCTTAGTGTCATCTGCGAATTTGAACAGGGTGCTTTCTACCCCCTCGTCCAAATCGCTGATGAAGATGTTGAACAGTGCGGGCCCGAGGACTGAGCCCTGGGGGATCCCACTGCACATATCCCTGCAGGTCGAAAATGATCCATCCACCACCACTCTCTGGGTGCGACCCTCCATCCAGTTAGCGACCCATTTGACTGTGTAGGTGTCAACACCACAGTCCCCTAGTTTTTTAATGAGAATGGGGTGAGAGACAGTGTCGAAGGCCGTCCTGAAGTCCAGAAAGATTACGTCCACTGCTACCCCTGTGTCTAAGGATTCGGTGACCTGGTCATTGAAGGCCACCAGGTTGGTCTAACAGGACCTGCCTTTAATGAACCCGGGTTGGCTGCCCCTAAGCATAACCTCCCTTGCTGGCCCCTCATGGACTTGTGCCAGGATAATTCTCTCAAAAAGCTTACCCAGGATTGAGGTAAGACGAACTCGCCTATAGTTTCCTGAGTTGATGTTGATGTTGCATTTTTTACAAGTTGGTCTTGAGGATGTCTTTGAAGCACTTTCTCTGCCCTCTTCTTGAGCATACACCTTGACTGAGCTGGGAGACTAAAACTTGCTTCAGGAATTTGGAGCAGGGTTGGGCAAAATATGGTCTGTGGGCTGGATCTGGCCCATGGAGGGACTTTGTCTGGCCCCCAGCAGGTCCCTTGGTCCTGCCTGGTTTGGGTGACATCTGGCCTGTGGCATGTCCTGCACTGGGCATACAGTGGGGGTGGGTCGTCTCCACAGCTAGACTTCATAGATTCATAGATGTTAGGGTCAGAAGGGACCTCAATAGATCATCGAGTCCGACCCCTGCATAGGCAGGAAAGAGT